AAGGTAATGAATGTCCTTGCCTATAAGCAAACAATGTATTACCTTGTATTACAAAAAATAATGTGGAAAGCCATACTTTGCTTCCTTCTACCTCACTCTCATATACAAAAATTAAAGCCCTGTACGTTTTATCCTACCTGAAATACAGTCTCTACCCTTCTCTGACTTGACTGCAATGCATGCCTCTGTGATGTGAAATGGCTAATATACGACTGGGAGAAAAGAAGAATAATGTTAGTAAAAGAGGTCATATGCATTTATATGGGATTTTCCCCCAAGCATATTAATGCTTTGTGCTGTAAGTAACTGCAGATGAATACAAAGTATATACTGGCTATAATCATTTGCTATTTCTAGTCATGAATTTGTAAAATGTGAGGTTTTTCAGAAATATATTATTTCTCTGCTGTGAAATGACTATTAATCTTCAAGTTAGTCATATAGTTTCTTAATTAAATAAGCATATGTATGTTAAATACTACTTATTAAATAAGCAGGAATGTAAGAGAAAAGAAGAGACTAACAGTTATTGATGATGATCACTTTGTTGGTCATCATGTTAAGGGCTCAGAACTGAGCTGGGCATGGTGAGTTGGAAAGCTGAGGCAGGAGAACCATGAGCAGCCTAGGCTATGTGTCTGTGGAGACTATCTTAAAACAAAAATAAACCATGGGGGAATCAAAAAAAAAAACTCTCAGCAAACTAAGAACATAAAGGGTGAGAATTTTAAAGTAATTATTATAGCTATTTCCAAGGCCTTTAAAATGAATGCAAATATAAGGAAATCTCAGAGAAAAATGAAGCACAGAAACTCTAAAACTAAAAAATGTAATAGCAAATATAAACCAAGAAAGATATCATAAGTCTTTTCATATTTTTTATTGGTAATCTGTAATGCTTACGAATATTACATGATAATTTCTAAAAATGTAAAACAGTAAAATATCTATGAAGCAAAACATGGAGTAGAGAAACTGAGGCTCTCTTGATTTTTGCATATAGTTTAATTTCCTTGAATTTAAAATGAGCACACACACACAAAAAAAATCAAATACCCAGGAGTAAACTTAACAAAGGATGTGAATGACCTCTACAAGGAGAACTACAAACCCCTGAAGAAAGAGATCGAGGAAGACTACAGAAGGTGGAAAGATCTTCTGTGCTCATGGATTGGTAGAATCAACATAGTAAAAATGGCTATACTACCGAAAGCAATCTACATGTTTAATGCAATTCCCATCAAAATCCCAATGACTTTCATCACAGAGACTGAAAAATGTACCTAAAGTTCATTTGGAAACACAAGAGACAGTGAGTAGCCAAGGCAATACTCAGCAAAAAGAGCAATGCTGGAGGTATCACAATACCCAACTTCAAACTATATTACAAAGCAATAGCAATAAAAACAGCATGGTATTGGCACAAAAACAGACATGAAGACCAGTGGAACAGAATAGAGGACCTGGATATGAATCCACACAACTATACTCATCTTATTTTTGACAAAGGTGCCAAAAATATACAATGGAGAAAAGACAGCCTCTTCAACAAATGTTGCTGGGAAAAGTGTCTGCAAGGAACTGAAAAGAGATTCATGTATATCACCCTGTACTAGTATCAACTCAAAATGGATCAAGGACCTTAATATCAGACCCAAACCTCTGAAGTTAGTACAGGAAGGAGCAGGAAACACTCTGGAAGTAATAGGTATGGGCAAGGACTTCCTCAATAGAACCCTAGCAACCCAGCAACTAAGAGAAAGAATGGACAAATAGGACTTCATAAAATTAAAAAGCTTCTGCACAACAAAAGAAATGGTCTCTAAACTGGAAAGACTACCCACAGAGTGGGAGAAAATATTTGTCAGCTACACATCAGACAAAAGACTGATAACCAGAATATATAGGGAACTTAAGAAACTAAACTCTCCCAAAATCAATGAGCCAATGAAGAAATAGGCAACTGAACTAAACAGAACTTCCACAAAGGAAAAAATTCAAATGACCAAAAATCACATGAAAAAATGCTCACCACCTCTAGCCATAAAGGAAATGCAAATCAAAACCACACTAAGATTCCACCTCACCCCTGTTAGAATAGCCACCATTAGAAACACCACCAACAACAGGTATTGGTGAGGATGTGGGGAAAAAAGAACCCTCATACACTGCTGGTGGGAATGCAAGCTAGTGCAACCACTCTGGAAAAAAATTTGGAGGCTTCTTAAAAATCTAAACATAGATCTGCCATATGATCCAGCAATCCCACTCCTGGGGATATACCCAAAGGAATGCAACACAGGTTACTCCAGAGGCACTTGCACACACGTTTATTGCAGCACTATTCACAATAGCTAAGTTAAGGAAACAACCAAGATACCCCATACTGATGGATGGATCAAGAAAATGTGGTATTTATACACAATGGAATTTTACTCAGCCATGAAGAAGAATGAAATCTTAGCATTTGCAAGTAAATGGATGGAACTGGAGAACATCATTCTGAGTGAGGTTAGACAGGCTCAGAAGACCAAAAATCGTATCTTCTCCCTCATATGTGGACTTTAGATCTAGAGCAAATATAGCAATGTGGTTGGACTTGGGCCACATGATAAGGGCAGAGCACATATGGGAGGTATGGGGATAGGTAGAAAACCCAAAACATGAAAGCGTTTGATGTCCCCACTCCAGAGGAGCTAATACAGAAAACTTAAATTGACAGAGGTCAACATGAGAAGGGGATCAGGAACCAGTGTAAACATCAGTTAGAGATGAATCAACTTGGGTTGTAACACATTTGTACACAGAAGCAATGCTAGGAATCTCACTGTATAGCTATCCTTAACTAGCAAAAACGCTTTGTCTTTCTTATTATGCTTATGTCTTCTCTTCAACAAAATTAGAGATAAGGGCAGAACAGGTTCTGCATGGAAGCAAGGGGGAAAGAGAGGAAAAAGAAGGAGAGGGTGGGAGAGGGGGGCAGGGGAGAGAAATGACCCAAACAGTGTATGCACATGTGAATAAAAAATAAAATAAAATGAGAGAGCAGACTGATTAATTTCCTGAAAAAAACTACTGATCCACTAGGAGTTGAAACAGCATGACATGAAGTCAGAAGACAAAAATGGTCTCCAGCCTCAAGGAGAAATCTAGAAGGAAGAGTTCACATTTTCTAAGAATCTCTTCTAATTATATAGATGCCTAAGCATTTAATGACATTAATTTTATTTTTGGGACTTAGACCCAAAAGGACACTGTTTTTTTTTTTTGGCAGTACTACTGGGGTTTAAACTCAGGGCCTACACCTTGAGCCACTCCACCAGTTTTTTTTTTTGTGATGGATTTTTTTCGAGATAGGGTCTCATGAACTATTTGCCTTGGTTGGCTTTGAACCTCAATCCTCCTGATCTCTGAACCTTGAGTCTCCTGATCTCTGCCATCTGAGTAGCTAGGATTATAGGCAGGAGCTACCAGTGCCTGGCTAGGACACTGTATTCTTGACACAATATATATAAAACATTTCTCAAAATTTCAGCAATCCTATTAATCTTATAGAACAGAAATCTTTATAAGTACTTAACTTCTATTTTCATATAATTTTAAATGCATGTCAGAAATTTTAAATTTCTAATAAAACATAACATTTGACAATTGAAATTTTTATGGGTTTTTTCTGTTCTAATTGATCATTAGGTTAATTCTTATTTCTGAAACATTTTTTTCTCATGCTTCTAAGAAAAAGACTAAAATCATTGGTGAAGATGAAACTATCATTTTCTAGATCCCAAAATATGGAAATCACACACTCAAGAATGAGAGATTTTACAAATGAGTTTACAAAATGCTTTGAAACTTAAAAAAATTTTGAGGGGCTGGGGGTGAGCCTCAATTGGTAACAGTGCCTGCCCAGTAAGCACGAGGCCCTGAATTCAAACCTTAGTACCACCAAAAGAAAATGGTAGAACATCTTAGTTGATTAAAAATAAAAAGGGTATCTAAAACTATGAAATGACAAGAGAACAGAAGATGCAGCACAGCGGTCCAGAGCACAAGTGCTGGGATTAAAAGAAAATGGGTTAAGTCCAAGCTAAACATACCTCTTTTATGTGTGGAACATGTGAAAACTATCAAAGGGTCACTGTCAGATTCCAAAGAAATTGCCAAACACTTAGGAAAGGTGCTTAGGTTAACATTCCAGAAATGTATTCTTTATGGTCTGTTGGTAAGTGTTGTATGGGGAAACTTATCTAAGTTTGGGAAACACTAATTTCTTTATTTCAAGGCTTCTCAGTCTTTGGTATATGAATGTATATTGTAATTTCCAACAGGGAAATATAATATTTAGCATTTCTAAAACTTCATAGACTGTGGTACTTCACTCTTATCGAGTATCTTAAGGGACAAGTGTATTCTACTGAAATAAAATTTCAGAAATGGTAAATTGGGCACTATGAGCATATGTAAGTATGTTGATGCTTCCTTGATCCAGTAGATCAATTCCATGGCATTTGTGTAATATGAAAAAAAAAAATGAAGCCAATAAGAACAAAGTCACTTTGTACAGTATTAATTATAATGACAAAAATCGAATGAAACTTCAAAGTGCAATGATAGAGGAAAAGACATTGATAGATCAATGGCAAGGACCATTATACAGCTAGAATGTGCATTAGAAGTGCTAGAATGGAGACTACTGCTCCATGGAAGTGTTTGTTAAATTAAAAATATAGAATCAAATTTTCTACATATTTTAGGATTATAACAATATAAATATGCATACATACGGACAAAGCAGAGAAGACTGGAAACAAGTTAATGCTCCGAACAATGGAGACTGGAGTAATCCTTTTATTTACTCTAACTTTTATTATAGTATTATGTACACAATAAAAAGTGGTTATCTGTAAAGAGCAACATAAAGACTCTTGAGAATAAAAACTATTTTAATATCCTTCTTTTCACATTAAGTTTCTTGGTAATGCATGATATTTAAATTACAGGACCATTCAAAGACTGTCAGCGAGCAAAAGAAGCTGGGCATTCCGTCAGTGGGATTTACATGATTAAGCCTGAGAACAGCCATGGACCAATGCAGTTATGGTGTGAGAACAGTTTGGATCCTGGAGGTTGGACTGTTATTCAGAAAAGAACAGATGGCTCTGTCAACTTCTTCAGAAACTGGGAAAATTATAAGGTAAATCACTGAATTCAGACCTCACAGAGGTAGAACCAGGTAGGCTCTTGCAATAGTGGCCTTGCAAGACAATAAATGAGCTATACTGTTAAAAACACAACTACCCAGGTGATTTTTATTATCTGTATCTGTCAAAAAGAAAAAGATTTTCAGCTTTTAAAGTCAAAATTAAAATGCAAAAAGGAAACTAAGACTACACTTTAAAATGACCTTATTCAGTCTGGATGACACACATACTTACACTTTGCAAAGATTACTTAATTCTACTTCCTAAGACAACTGCTGTTTTTTTTTTTTAATGATCATATTTGTAACATCAAATGCATTTAAGCGCTATGAAGTACAGGACTTAAAAATGACCTCCATTCTTGGACTAATTACTTCTGACAACCACATTTTAAGTTTATGGAATGATGAATGCTGTTGGAAATGATATACAACTAGATTTTCACATAGAACCAGATCATGTGATATCAATTTGAGAAAGATAAATAACCGATCTTTGTTAATACTTTTGATGTTTCTAATTCTAAATTTATGAGTGGTATATACATCTACAACTTTAGTTTAAGGATGGCAAGAAAGACTGTATTTTAGAAATGTGATTATAGTAGAGCCTTAGTATTGGCAGGTATATGGCTCTAAGGAGAGCACTGTTAAGGAAAAACCAAAAATGCTCAGGAAGCAGGAGTTCAGTGCTGTACTTCAGATATCGGATTCATTTTTCACATAACATCATCCAACTTCCATAAAGACACACGACCTTTCAACAAATCTCAAAACTGCATTTTATCACTTGCACATTTACTTTTACCTTATTTTTTGGGTCACAAAATTAGGGGCAGGAAAACACCCATCAGACCACATGATGATTTAAACACACCTGACGATGCCGCCAGACTGACAGCTTCTTGGCATCAACTGAGGTGCCTAATGTGCATTTGGGAATTTAACACTTTATTTGAATTTTTTTTTTATCTTTTAAATTTATTACTATTTTTTGACCATGCTTGGTCAAAACGACATGTACTAAATTCAAGAAAAAAGTGGGCTTACTGTACTGTACTCAGTCTTAGGTGAACTTTTACTGGCAACAAAGGATTTACTCTAATATAACTATGTCAGAAGCTATATAAAATTTCTAAACAAGGAATTTGCACAAGTGACAGAAAAATCCTCTAACATGATCCACTTGAGGACACATTTACAATGTTAAGATCAGACTTACTAAATCTATTTTGTTGCAATTCTGCAATGTCAAACACCTATTGAAATAGGACAGTTAACTTATTTTTCAAACATAATTGAAGATTACTGTAGTACTTTATCTTTTTATAGCTACTAATTTTATTTAACTAAAGAAGATAATTTATTCTAAAACACCTATCATTTTGATTGAATGTAAAAGAGTGTGGAGTTTATAAAAATCAGGTGATCCACTATAAAGAAACTCACATTACCATTTAAAAGTACACTATCAAATGTTTAAAACTTTTCTGTAATAATGTTAATTTTCACTACATTTATCTGTTTCTTTGTTTATTAACAGAAAGGGTTTGGAAATATTGATGGGGAATATTGGCTTGGACTGGAAAATATCTACATGCTTAGCAATCAAGATAATTATAAACTGTTGATTGAATTAGAAGACTGGAGTGATAAAAAGGTCTATGCAGAATACAGCAGCTTTCATCTGGAACCTGAAAGTGAATTCTACAGACTGCGCCTGGGAACTTACCAGGGCAATGCGGGGGATTCCATGATGTGGCACAATGGCAAACAATTCACTACGCTGGACAGAGACAAAGATATGTATGCAGGTAAGAGAACACAATTTTGTACAACCACCACCTTCTATGCATTGAGTAGAACCTAACTGTTAAAGTATATGCTTCTAAAATTTTTTCAGAAAAGGTCATTTCGGACACAAAGGGAATATAACCTAGCTTTTAGGATGTCTTCTATAAGGTGATTCCAAAGTGTGGTCTTTGGGAAGAACAGGTTCTAGGAAAAAACAAAATAAAGCCAAGCCACATTCGTTTGGAAATAAAACTCCAATTCAAATTCATATACTAACTAGACACCTACCTTATGCCATATGCTATAGGTGCTAGAGACAAAGCAATGAACTGTTTCTGCCCCTTCGAGCTTACTTCTAACAAGGGTTATTAGGTAGAAATGGTATCTATCCCTAAGAAAAATAAAACCAAGTAAGGGAACAAAGTACTGGGCATCACAGCCTGGAGTGGGTGCTGTTTAATATGGGTGTCTGAGAAAGGCCACTATGAACAGGCAACATTTGAATAAAAATCTATAGACATGAAGGAGGCAGGTGACTTGGAACACTGTGAAGAGCACTTCTTAGAAGGGAACAGGAAAATGACACTGAAACTTAATTCAAAGGGGAAATTAATATTTTCCTTAGAATGAACTAATTAGACAAGACTACACACACAAAAAGCTAATAATTAGATCATCCATATAATTTCAATTTCAATTCTCATGTATTTTGTCTTTTTAACTCAGGTTTCTAGCACTGATAAAACTGACTTTTCTCTTCAGTTGTTATTTTTTAGTAATTAACGCCTAAGTCCCTCTTTTAATCTATTTCAATGAAGGTAAAAGAGGGAGGAGAGATATCACCATAAAACATGTCTTTTTGCTTACAGAAATCCATTTTATTATTGGTAGAGCTATTTGTTTACTTTTTGTTTCCCCCCAGTATCAGGGTTTGATCTCAAGGCCTCACACTTGCTAAATGGTGCTCTACCATTTGAGCCATACCTCTAATCCTTTTGTACTTTAGTTGCTTTTAGATAGGGTCATACATTTATACCCAGGACTGGCCACAGACCATGATCCTCCTATCTATGCTTTCTATGTAGCTGAGCTTACAGATGCTTTTCTGCTGAGATGGGGTGTCACTAACTTTCTGCCTTGGCTAGCCCCTAACTGTGATCCTCCCAATCACTGCCTCCCCTGTAGCTACTATCATGCTTGGCCAATATTTTATTTTATTTTTTTTGGTATTTTGTTTTGAGAATTCAAATTTTCCCAAACATTACCATATTCTTTAGCAATTTTATCTTTTATTTCCTAGTCTCTTTATCTGTATAGCTCACACGCACTGCATTTTATTTATCCTGCTGCCTAAAAATTTAAATATATAACATACATGTATATATATATTAATGTTTTATATACTATATTATATATTTACTATATGCATTAGATATATTTTCTATATTTACTATTTAATATACATGTATATTAAATTTATTTATTTAAAAAGCACATATTAAGCAAGCAAAAAGTAAAATAAAAAGGAAATTCAAGTGATCTTTTAAGAATAAATGAAAGAAAGTTAAGTTAAAGGTAACTGAAATCAGTAAGGGAAGCTCAAATTAAAATTGTTCCAAAGGCACAAGTTTTTGACTGTTGGCAAAGGAACACACTTAGAAGGAACTTTTATGTTGATGTTTGTATTTTTTTCCTTAAAGGAAACTGTGCCCACTTTCACAAAGGAGGCTGGTGGTACAATGCCTGTGCACATTCCAACCTCAATGGAGTGTGGTACAGAGGTGGTCACTACAGAAGCAAGTACCAGGACGGAATCTTCTGGGCTGAGTACAGAGGCGGGTCGTACTCCCTGCGAGCAGTGCGGATGATGGTGAAACCTATTGACTGAGGTGGCTCCGACCTAAGTGACACACAACTCCACTTCTCAGCTTCCAAAATGCAGGTGTCACATGTCTCTTACTTTGCAGTTTCTACAGATGTGATTTTAAAATGAATTTTACAAAGGCATCTATGAATATGGTTTCCTCTTCCTTCAGTGTACTGCAGAAGATTATTTGTATGCATATCCTAGTTGTTTTAAAATTTTTATTGACTGAATACAGGTAAAGTTTTCTAAAATGTAAATATTTGCCATAATATGAAACAAATCTTAGCTTTATTGTAAATCAAAATTGAAAACATGTTCTAGTTAACAATTATTTAAAAACTATGAAACTGCTCTAGCTTGCAATGAAAAAATAATTTTAAGACTTCAGCCAAGTAATGCATTTTATTTATAAAAATATAGACAGGAAATTAGAGAAATCTCTAGTTTTGCCCATAGAAAAATTCATTTTTCCACTGAATGAAATTTCAAATTGAACTTGTGCCTTTCACATGTAATGACTGAATCTGAACTATTGAGAATAATGATTTTCCCAAAAGAATTGTGACTCAAGAGTATTAAAATACATAGAAGAATGCATTCTAAAAACAAATTTGCAACTGACTTTTCATATATGCTGAACACCAAAATCTGAAATGCCTTTTAATGTAATTATAAAATCATTAAGATACTGCTATTGCAAAAATGTAAAATATTCAATGTGCCAATGTTTTATATACTTGAATTATAATTCTAGGTGTACTTATTAACATCTTTTTCCCTATAATTGTCTGCAGGCCGGGGAGGTACAGAGCTTGCCTAGCATGTGTGAGGTCCTGGGTTTGACCCCAGTACTGGAGCAAAAGTCTTATCTGTTCCTCAAGTCAGAAAGCTAGGACAGCTTTACAAGTTTAAGTGCATACTTACAGGTGGCACTGAAACAACTGCATGAAATTGCTAAGAATGTTTTCTTAATATTGAGGATTCAATAGCTTCAGAGTAGAACCCACAAACAAACAGGGGCTTGACTGGTCCAAACTGCTCACTCCACCTCAGAGTATGTGGAAGCAGTGCTTAGCCTCATGCTGCCTTTAACTCATCTTTGCCATCCATCCCTTTATTAGGGTCTTGTGAAACAACTGTTTCTCTGGAAACATACTCACTGCGTAGAGCTTACCTTTCCTTAATTAAAATTTGAAAGTTAAAAGTTTTAAAGAAATCTCTCAAGATTTTTGCTCAAGCAAACAGAAAATCCAACCAGAACTAAAGTGTGTGAGGCAAATTATCCACAGGAATGGTTTAACCGGAAGATAACTATGAACAACTTAAGTTCATCAACTAGATCAACGGTTTTCATCTGCCACAGCTCAAAATAAAACCTGTGGTGAAAGTTATAGCCTTATTATTCTTTTCTTCACCTATTATCATCTTAAACTAGTTTTGATGTCTCTCTTACCCCTTCTCCCAGACCCCACTCCCAATTTTAAAAAAATCTGCTGTTAAGATTCCTAGGAAGAACTGGGCATTTAATAGTTATAAATCTTAACTGAATGAAGTTTAGCATGGCATCCCATTTACTGACAGATCTTCAAGCATTTGACTTAAACATCCAAAACACAATCAAAGACAATTCTAATAGAATTTTCAGAGAATATTATTAAAACTAGAATAAGATGTAACTCAATATACAGATTTAAAGAGTGGGCTGAATGTTAAATTCCCTTACTCATTGGACCCATTCTACTCTTCACAGAGCTGATGCCGACCCGCTCCACAGTTCTCACAAAGCTTACTGCCATGCTTTCTGCAATATCAGAGACACCTTGCGTAGACTAAGTGACCAATGAATGTGCTAAAATAAACAATATCCAGGTTTCGGGAATGAGTTTACACTGATCCGCCATCTTCACTTGAAAACCTAATAAAGTTATGTCAACTGTGATAGCAGATAGTTACTATTTTTTTTTTGGTGGGACTGAGGTTTGAACTCAGAGCTTTGTGTTTGTCAAGCAGGCACTCTACCACTTGAGCCACACTTCCAATCCATTTTGCTCTGGTTATTTTGGAGATGGGAGTCTCAAGAATTATTTGTTCGGGCTGGCCTTGAACCTCAAGCCTCCTGATCTCAGCTTCAAGAAAGGCTAGTATGATTACAGGCGTGAGACACCAATGCTCAGAACAGGTAGTAAACGTTTAAAAATGAAAAATAAAGGCAACAACAATCTGAAGTGGGAACTTCAGTCTAGGGAGTATTGAGAGAATAGGTCAGGCCACTTGTGTTGTAGGTAAGGACTAACCACTAGCTACTTTGCATGTTACCTAGGAATAAAGATGGAGTTGCCTTACTTACACTGATTTCATATAACCTTGCCTTCAAGCTAGTTTATAGGTGGATTTTTCAGTTATTATTAATAAATGCAATGAAGGTTATCCTATGAAAGATTTAGATTCTACTCTATACTCAGTGAAAGACCATTAATGTTCTAGAATACTTGGTTTGCCTAAAGTAGATTTTTTTGTGGCAGTATTGGGGTTTGAACTCAGAGCTTTAGCTTGTTAGGCAGATGCTGTACCACCTAAGACAGACACACACACACACACACACACTTTTTTTTTTTTTTAGTTATTTTTCAGATAGGGTGTCACACTTTGCCAGGGGCTGGTCTTGGACCACAATCCTCCTACCTATGCCTCTCTCATCTAGATATGATTATAGATGTTTATTACCATGCCTGGCTTATTTGTTGAGATGGGAGTCTAACTTTTTGTGTTGGCTGACCTCAAATTGTAACCTTCCCAATTTTCTTCTCCTAAGTAGCTGAGATTACAAATGTGAGTCAGATTTCTAAAACTTGAGAAAATTGCCTTGCAATTTTGTAGATAATTACAAATAAACATTATCAGACTCCAACCATGATAGTATGGTCCAGAATTTCAATTTAATGTACACTTAACTCTGAGCCACTCCTTTTAGCACTGTTACTTCTTAGAACTCCTAGTAATAACACAGCAAGTCTGTAAAAGCTTCTGTAATCATGAACATGCTTTAAATTACTTATTAATCTGTATTAACTGTATGACTTATATAGTTATTTACATCAGTCTTAATAGTAAGCTAAAGATTATTTCCATACCCTAACAGTTTTCAGCCTTATTTTGCACCTGTGAAGATAAACAAGTGAAAACAATAGTGATTCCACTTACAAAGCCAGGCGTCCCTTTGCAATTTTATGAGGTTAACTGCTACCAACTTGCAATTCTATAGAAAGATTGATGAATAAACCAAAATTTATCTAGCCAGACTCCCAACATTTTAATGTCTTCCTTAATGCTTTCCTTAAAATATGAAGTAATCATAACACATATCTTTCTAGCAAGTCAACTTAACCTCCTTGCATCAATTTCCTCACTTGAATATATAAATAATAATTATCACCCACTTTATAAGATGTGTTAGACAATATATATAATATATATATACTGTGTACTACACAGTATCAGGCACATATGGTTAAATGCTGATTGTTATTAAAATTATTGTTTTTCTGTTAAGGCATACTCAAAAAAATTATAATAAACAAATTATAGAAGTATTGGCAAATAGAAACATCAACAAAGCTGCTGAAATTGGAGGAATCTGATTCTGCTGCTACTTTTTAAGGTATAAGCTCTTAAAGAAAAAAGAACTGAACCAGTGAAATTAACACAACTTCATCCTCAACTCATCTGTATCATCCTGAACTCTTTTACACCACAAGTCTTTGGTCTAAAGTAATCTTCAGGAAATATATCAAAAAAGAACATTAGAGAAATTTTAAGTATATAAATAATAGTGAGGTAATGGAAAATGGAAATGTAATTTTAGTCAAAGAAAAAGCTAGGGCTAGCTGCCATTTGATCTGAGCTCATCCTCAGGATCCAAGAGAAAATGAAGGCATTCTATTGCTATTTTACAGTACAATATGTACAATTCATAATCAAAACAACAGGGTCAAGTAATCCACAGTGTATACTACCTACTAAACTAAAAAAAACAAAAACGGAATAAACCTCTTAAAAACATTAGCAACCAGTGACATTTTCTCACCAATAGGCATTTTAAGATCACCATCAAGAGTATTTGATATATTTATTTAACCAAGTAAAATTCTATCAAAGTGAAAGGAAAATATTAAGAAGACTAGGACTTGGCTGAATTATCTGTGACTGAGAACAATCATTTTCAAAAATACATAGCAATATAGGTTAGTAATTTCTAAAGCCAATATAAAACAATATAAACTGTAATCTGAGAAATCAGTATTCACCAAGTCAACCAGTATGTGCAAAATCTATTGAAAAACAAAAATGAATCAAAGTCTAAAGATTCCTGCTAAATTTAGGTATGCCTTAGAAACCTTCATTGGGGATGCAAAGAGTTGACCTATGCTGTAAATATGCCATACTAATACATTTATTTATTTAAATGGAAATTAAAACAAAGTTGAAGGAACAAATGGGAGGAAAAAAAGGAAGATGAACCAACAAGTATACATTAAATACTTATTTACATGCTATAAAACTTTGAACAAAGGCAAATAAGGGCTTATACTCTTGTTGGGGCAAGATCAGTGAAAATATCATTACAGAAATAAAACTTTTTTTTTTTTTTTAAATAACCGGGGCCAGGGGTTGGGGGGAGGATTATAAAAGAACTTTTCTCTTTAAAAACAAAAGAAGCCCTCCATGAAAACCTGATTTTTTGTTTTGTTTCGGTGGTATCAGAGTTTGAACTCAGGGTCTCATGCTTGCTAGGCAGGTGCTCTACCACTTGAGACAGACCCCAGCCCTTTTTTGTTTTAGTTATTTTTTAGGAAGGGTTTCACTTTTTTGCCCTAGGGCTGGCTTTAATTCTCCCAATCTCTGCCTCCCAATCAGCTGGAATTATAGCTGTGAGCCACTGTACTATGCCTGAAGACCTGATGTTTAAACGGAAAATTAAAGTGGGGAGAAGAGAGGGGCCGACTTTATAAGACATCAAAACAGTGTACCCGAATCCTACACAATAGTTTTACAAAAACTTTTCTGTAACTCTGCTGGTTCTTAAATGGAAGTAATATACAGAACTGTAATAATTTACTCATTTTCATAGTTTTAAAAATATGCCTTCTTTCCCAGACAGCATTCTAACCTGGTTGAGCCACTACATCTTTCTGTTACATGAATAAAGTAGAAATGAAATTTAGAAAACAAATTTATCATGCTTCATATAACTTACTTTTTTTTTTTTTGCAGCACTAGGATTTGAACTCAGGGCCTCACTATTGCTAGGCAGATGCTCTTATTGCTTGAGCCATTCCACCAGTACTAAACTACTTTTGTATAATGTCCTAGTTTTCTCTCTACAGCAAAGCAAGACTTCTCATGCTGAAGTTTTCAACAAACCTCTTAAGACTGTGGTCCAGTGACAAGAACAAATGATTGCTGTTAATGATTTTCAGATTTAAAGCAATAATCCTCATAAAAAATTTTTTTCCTCGAGATTTGCCAAACTATTCCTCTTTAGACAAATTACATCCTAGTTCTAAGAATTTTTCACTATACTGTCCAAGCTAATTTTTACCTTGAATGCAAACCAACAGAAAAGACAATTTTTCAAGAGATAACGAGTGGAGAGCCAAGAAAACATTTTCTACTTCTTATAATTTAATCCACATTGAATTACAGATACATTTGGCAATACAGAAATGAGAGTTTTATCATACAAACCCCTGCACCTTTTATAAGCTTCACAAAGAATGGTTGGCTTTGGTTATTACTTTTAGCAGGGAAAACACTATTAGTTTGGAGTTCATCTCACACAATAAGAAAGAGATGGTTAGCAATTACCTGTCCTCTATGTGTTACAGATTCTTTCGGCTGATACATTCTTAGAGAACCTCTAGAGACATAATTTACATAGACGGACAGCACTATGTAAATTCTGTACACCTGAAGAATAGTTAAACGAAGCTACCAATTTGTGTAATGAATATTTCAATTACCTTCAGGGCAAGTTCGAATACACAGCATCATATTAAGGCTTAGGTTGTTAGCAACTTGCTAGGATTATTTTAATATTAATAGGAGAGGATTTTTTTTTTTTTTTTTTGTGGTACTAGGGTTTGATCTCAGGATCACACACTTGCTAGGCAGGCGCTCTACCACTTGAGCCACTCTGCCAGTTGGGGAAAGGATTGTGAAATCAGCACAACTTAAAAAAAAAAAAAAAGTCCAAATTAATTTTAAATGAGAACAAAATATGAGAAAGTCAGTAAATTAGTGTGACATGTTCATTCTTCAACACACTTCAGTACTAAAGATCAGGAATGAAGAAAAATGAAACATCTGTCTATGATGTAAATCAATAGCCAGTAAGTTGTACAAGAGATTTGCTTTCTTAAGAAAAGCAAGAATGTTTTGATGGACTGAATTATATTTACTCTGGAGATCTGCTTCAAATAAAATGGTCACTACATTAAAAGGCCAATTTTCATGCAGGAAACAGTCATAGTAACTTATATGACAAATGTTTACTTTTTCAAGTATGCTAAATGTTTATGCCAAATGGTCTAGATACTCTTTACATAAAAGTATGGGAACAAGTTACATGAAGACTATCAATATATAAAACCACGCAGATATTAAAGTATATGTTCTCCATTTTATCATCTTATGTTTTCTACCATTTTCCCTTTTATTTTTTAATTCTACAATAACCCTCAGAAATATGTATCTAATTTTATTAGAGAATATAAAAAGCTGAGAAGGAGGACAAGAAATGCAGTGAACCCTAGATTTTGTAGTTTAGTTATGTTAAATTTCATAGAGACAGGACAAAGTCTGCTTTATTCCATGAAACATACTGAGCAACGAGCATAGTGCTAAACAAATATAAGTTGCCATCGGAGGTACCAAAAGAAAGTTTGGACTGTGTAAAGAGTTGACCCATGCAAATATGCCACACAAATACATTTACCGTATTTAAACATAAACTAAAGCAAATAGTTACTAGAACAAGAAAAGCCAGAATGAGATCATTTAATTAGACAAACCAACACATATCTATTAAATGCTTACTTTTGTGATGTATGAAAGTACATAGTGCTAATCTGATATGATCATTGGTAGACTAAGCAAGAGGATCAGGTTTGGAGGAAGGGGGAAAGATGAACATGTTGGTGCATATGCTGAATTGGGGTCACCTTAATCAATGTTTTAGTATCTAAGGCCCCCAGAATTAAGTAGACAGGATACAATATATACATCCAGGATACAAGCAATATATGGAAAAAACCTGAATGAGACCACTCCACTAAGATTATAATATAAAAGAGGTAGACTGACACTTTTATAAGAATACATTTAAGAGAAAGGCAGAGGAAGAGCAATCAATAAAACAAAAGCCAGAAGTGTAGAAAGTAAATTAAGAGAGCTGGGTACTGCTTGTGGAGAATTCCAAGGAGGAGTTATCCAACATGTCAATAACAAAATCAAGATGAGGTCTGAGAACTATGAAATTTTGGAAAAATTTCTACTGAGTGAAAGGAGGTAAACAGTGTGCTGAGCAAAAGAAATCAAGAGTAAGGCACCAAGTAAAACACATGGGATAGTGAAAAATAAGATTCTAAGTCATGAGAACATGCAAAAAGAAAGGGAGCTAAGGTGGACTCATTAGAAACCAAACTGAAGAGAAAGAAAACACAAGGGTTTTAATATTTTCTCCAAATTAACACCTGCACCTCAATGTTTGCCTCAGGTACCAGGACTGGGAGAGAAGAGGTATGGTCTCTACTGGAAAGCCTTTCCAGATTCTTCTGAACCACTATGAAAGTGGTTTCTTCTCATTCCTGCTTTCTGTATGTGCATGAGTGTGCATGAATATACAAGAGGTACATGCACACATACAGAGCTTTATGTTCATACCACGTCTTTGCTATGGAACAATATAAAACAAAGACCCATGAACTGGAATGAAAAGAAATTTTAATCTTTTCTAGAAGATAAATTACGAAAATTTAGTGAGGAAACATGATTTAATGAGGGGAAAAAGCAAATACAAAATGAGTAAGTTTTAGAATGAGAGTTTAGCTGGTGTGATTGAATCAGGCTAGGTCAAGACTCTGAATTGCAGACCTGTCACTTGCTAGGTCTTTGGAATATAAGCCAGGTTTGTACCTTTCTGGACATGGGTTTTTCTCAAAAGTGAAATAAGTGAATGAAAAGACATTAATATGGCCCCATTCAGCCTTCAAAAGACCATGATTCTGATTCTACGCATGCTATTTCTAGGTAAACAGAACAAGGTACAAAGAAGGCAACTCAATGACTTGAAAACTACTCAGTACAATATAGACATTTTGCAACTAAGGATCACCAATTCTGAGTCTAACGTTCTCTATGCTATAAAAAGCTTATGTTCTTGTGGATTAAGAACATGTAACTTTCAAAACTCATCTATTCTAACTTATTCCAAAATTACATTTTCAAATATGGGCTCAGCCAAGGCTATAGTAAAAAATGGAATACATACTGTACAGCCATTAACTATACTATGCTTAGTTACTCAACATGTCCCCATTCCTATGGTGCCCCCACAATATTCTAATGAGTTCAACTTTTCTTTGGGAACTAATGTTGGTACTCTACAGCAAGGGAAGTATCCATGCTCCCTGGTCCTTTTTCTTCCAGTCAGTGTTATGTAACGATTTCAAAGTTACCACTGTAGAGTCGCCTAAACAGCAGACTTTTCACATTACTCTCAGAAATAGCTCTCTTGAAATCTAACTATGGATAGTTGTAAAAAAAAGACAGAAATGGGGAGAAAAGCATGGATATTAGAAAGAAACAAATGTTCATCATTTAATTACTTACTACATGGGATCAAATTAACTTATTTTAATGCATGTTAGTTATATATAAATCCTAACAAATCCTAAATACCTAACAAAAGAAATTATTCATATTTTGTGGAAATAATCTATGTTATTGATTAAATAGTTCTTAGAATGGGTAAATACTGTAAAATACACATAAGGACATAAATTAGACATGTGATGCATAAAATACAGAAGAGTCCAGCACTCAGCTAAATTTTCAGTTAAATAACTTATGTCACCCATGCAAACACCACCACCAATATTCATTGAGACTATTCTTCAAAATTCGCACTAAAATATGTACCAACTATAAAAGAACTTTAATTAATGTCTTCACAGTTAATGTATTAAACTTCATTACAGACTACTGGTTCTTTTGTTAAAAAGTATTAACTAAAATAGCTAAAAGATATCATTTTACCATATGGCCCACTGCTAATGATACATAATAGTCTATGAAAAATCTCAAGGGCTTATTTAATATAAAAATACACTCCAGGCAATAAGGTAACTACCTCTTTAGTCAATTTTTTCAGTTTAGCAATCTTGTAGTAATGAAAAAATACACACTTTAAAACTCTGAGTTTCATATAAATTACCAATTAAGAAGAGCAACAATCGAGAATAGTGAACAGTGACATAACTTACCTAAATAGGGAATGCAAGGTGTCATTTTTAAGCTACTTATATAGTCTCTCAATCTTTTGTAGTTATCTTCTTTACTCATTACATACTCTAATTTTTCAAAGGTAGTTTTGTCTTTTCGACTTAATAACTAAAAAAAAAAAAAAAAAGCCTAAGTTATATACAACTCCCATCTTACTGCAGCAAAGATGTGAACTGATGTTGTATTTACTATAAATTGGATTCTAATTTCAAAGTTATACCTTCCTTAATTATATTTTGGTAATAAATAAAACAAAGTCAGACATGTCTTTATATATAATTACTTATATTAATTATACAATATGAATTAATTATATAATTATTTATTATATAATTATATATTTGTTATACATTTATTATATTAGTATACAACATGGAAGAGATTGCCCAAACAATGTACGCACATATGAATAAATGAAAAAAAACCTCAAATTATTTATAAAGTAGCTGGTTCTACACAAGTTAACTAGTAAATTACAGCACATTATTTCTCATCTTTACTATTTTTGTTGATCATTTTCCTAGGCATGTGCTATACCATTTGACCTATGCCTGTAGCCCTTTCTTGAATATTTTCCTAATTTAAAATAATCATATATTCACATTCAGCTCAAATGCCCAAATACTGTATTTGACCGCCTCCTCAAAGATAACTCTTACATAATCATTAAGAAATCTTAAATTGTGTGAAGTAAGTAACAATTTCCTTAACAAATCTACCAATGGCTAGTCCAATAATAACTGTTAAAACCTGCAATTCCTTACTTTTAAGACTTCTGACATTCTCCCCTTGATCAGTGCTTTATCACATACAGCGTAACTAACATGCTGTTTTAAGAAGCTTAAGGCACCAATCTGTAGCCTACCTGTTTGAGATCAATGTAGATAATCAAAGGGCTACAAAGATAAGCAAGGTCAGTCATGCATAATGGTATTAACTGTAAATTTCCGGAAATGTTTCTGAATCACTTCAAAAGACTGGAAATATTCTTCTTTAAACATATAGTTACTACTTCATTGTTATGTATGTAGTAAGACTTCATTTCAGATTGAAATATTAAACACTTCCTCTATACAATTCTTACTAATTTTTCTACAGGGTTCACAGAAAAGTCTGAGTATTAATTTAGAAATAAGTAGACTGAGAGTCAAAGGTGATCACAGGGTTCACAAGCAGAGAAATATACTAATATTCTCAGTCATCTACTCACAAAGATGCATGTTCTTTTTTTTTTTTTTTTTTCTTTTTTCAGAGTCTCAAAGTCTGTTTGTGGAGATGGAGTATTCTGCACCTAATCCACTGCTCTTTCCAGTATTACAAACAGTACAGTTGGGATACATTTTTCATAGACTTGCAAAAACAGTTATGGAATGGTTATGGTAGTGTTAGGGTAACAATAAATCTGTATTCTTTTCCCCCTAAATCGGTCATTCAAACACTGGAACAATATCAAGAGAAAGTAATTACTTAGAACTCTTAAGGGGAAAACATAAAATTGTGGAAAAGAACTATATGGCCTGATATATCTGTAAATAACACTTTGCAATTCTTATAATAAATCAATAACCAGACTAACAGGATCATTAAATTGGTTTATTTTTCAACTTTGTAACAAATATACATGTAGTACTTCCTACCTACATACCAATAACACACCTACCAAATACTCCTTCCTATCCAATTCCCTTGATTGTCTTTAAGAGGTAAGCAATAACCACTATCCTAGGTTTATCATTTTACTATTTTGAGTTTATAATTTCCTTAAGTCTTACTTCTTTTTTGACTAAAGAGTATTATATATTGTCAATAATCTTTGGTAGTTGCTTTCTTTTGGGTGGTGCCAAGGTACTAGCACATTCTGCTACTGAGTTATACACTAACCTAACAATTGCTTTGTTTACTTAACATTTGATATTAAGGTTTCAGCCATGAAATTTTAAGTAGCTACAGTTGACTCATTTTCATTGCTTCTGTGTACTTTCTTTCCACAAAATATCCTTATAGTGCTCATTTAAATTTTTTAAATTTATTTTTGTGTTAGAAGAGCTCCTTATATGTTCTGGATATAAAGTCTTCAGTTATAATTGTTGTACGTATCTTCTCTTCCTCTGACATCATTTCAGTTTTCTTTCAAGTATCTTTTGATGAACGGAAATTCTCACTTGAATATGGCAAAACTTATATCCATCGTTTTTTTCACTACTGGAGCTTTCAGCATCGTATCTTTTAAAACTCCCCTGCCTATGCCAAAAAAGAAAACTATTCATGTCCAGCAAGACATTCGCTTATGTTTTCCCCTAAAATCTTTGAAGTTCTGCATTTCACATCTAAGTCCTTAACTGAATCAACAATGATTTTTTTTAAATGATGCAGGTGCTCTAGTTCATCTTTTCTCCAAACTAATAACCTATTTTCCAGCTCCAATTAATAGATAGTCCCTCGTTTCTTCACCAATTTGTAATACTTATAAATTATCAGAGTTCTAAAGCAAGGATATATTTCTGGGTTCTATATTGTTTCACTGGTAGCTAAATCTAAACCTGCTTGAATCCAACACTGCCCAAATTACAGAACAATCTTGACATCTATTAGGGCAAGTGCCCACATCTTCACCCCCCATTTCCTTCCTTAAGAATGTCTTGGCAATCTCTTTCTTTGTTTTTGTTGCCTGTACTTTTGGGGATATATCCAAAAATAATTGTCTAGACCAGTATCAAGAAGCCTTCCTATTATGATGTTCTGCCTTGCCATAGTCCCAAAGCAATAGGGCCTATCAATTATTGACTGGAACCTCTAAAAGTGCAAGCCAAAATAAATCTTTCCTCCTTTAGCTGATTATTTCAGGTATTTTGTTACAGTATTAGAAAATTGCCTAACATACTACCTAACTGTCAATGATAGATGCTCTTTCCATATTATATAAAACAGTGTTGTCCTGCTTTCCTTCCCCCCTCCTTTTTTTTGTCTTACTGGGGATACATTGTGACATTCACCCTTCCATCATACTCCTTTATCCTCCCCTTCCCCCATTCTTAGAACAGTTTCAACAGGCCTCATTATTTTATTTTCATACACGAGTATAATTATTTCCACCATATTAATCCTCCTAACATCCTTTCCTTATATCCACCCTCCCTCACACACACACACACACACACACACACACACACACAGTTACCAACCCCTAGACAGGACCCGTTTTCCATTCTTGAAAAAGACATTTTTGTTTGCCTAAGATCCTGCCTTCCTTTCTATCCTTTTTATTTTTTCTTCAGAACATTTGTCACTGTATCATTTACTGAGTTGGTTTTTCTCTAGAAGAATGTCAGCTATGTAAGAATGGAATTGTATACCATTCACTACTATACATTAAGTACTTAGTATCTGACACAATTTGGAATATTTACCAAAAAAAGTACAAACACCAAAAGTTTACTTCAGATTAATGGAGCTGTTGTTAAGTAAAATATTCTTTTCCAGCAAATACATGAGGATTAACAAAAATACCTTCAAGGAAAATAAAAATTAGTTTGAAGGAAATGTATTAAATTTCTAAATGAAAATATAACTCAGAGTATTATACTTTTCCCTGAAACTTTAAAGATGGAATTAATATCTGTATATTTGTAATCATTTCTACTCCATGAAATTAAAATTTTAAGAAAAGAATAAGCCCATCATTATTGAAAGAAAAAAAAAAAAAAAAAGAATTTGTAGAGTTGGAAAATGTTCCATCTGGGTATTTCTATGATACAAATGAAAAGATCTCAAGCTCTTCCACACTAGTGTTGCCCTGACATGCAAATCTACCCAGTGTAGTCTCTTCAGACACTGGGAAAAGCAAAGGAGTACTTGGTTAATTAAAAATAGTACTATTTTAGTAACAAAAAATAAGTTCGTAAAGCCAATAATGTATTTAGCACAGAACCTTTAAAACACATTAATCCTTTGTTTAAAAAAAATGTAATAGACTCTAAGCTGGATATGGTGTTGCACACCTGTCATCCCAGCACTCAGGAGGCTGAGGCAAGAGGAATGTAAGTTCAAGTCCAGGCTAGGCTACACAGTAAGACTCTGTCTTAAAAATACAAAACACACACACACAAAGTAACAAATTTGAATGAATCTATTATTTTATTTGTGTAAAATCTAAACGAAAAATACCTAGAAAGATTGAATATACTCAAAGATGAAGATACAAACATTTGCAGATATTAAAATTCATACTCTAACCTTGTCACAGTAATAGAAGTATGATTAATGTAATATCAAAATATACAGCAACACTGCATAATTCCATGTTTGCCATCAAATTCTCCATTATGGCCTAAGGTTTAAGACTAACAACTAATGGAAGCTGAAATTAGTAAATCTTCTGAAAGATTTAGATCTTCCTCAAACTTACAAAAAGCATAATCTTTGCATGATTAAATGCAAGTTTTTTTGCATTCATACTTTCCTATGTGACTATGAAACACTAATTAATTGCCAAAGAACTTAATGATTCTCTAAAGAGCAGAAGCAAAGCACCAAACTGTAATCTACCTACAAGTTACCAGACAAAGTCAATGGAATGCTGCAAAAGAGAAAATGTAGGCTTCAAAGAACAAAGTGCAATGTAATTTAAAAATTTTCATCTATTACCATAACATTACTCTTACTAAGAATTACAAAAGAAATGTATCTTTACTTCCCACAGGAAGTCTAACCTTTCATTAACTAAGGAAGATTACTCACCGCCCATGTTTTGGTCAACCTGAAAATCGGCGCACTCTGCAAGCCAGAAACCACTGCCATAAGTGCATGAAGGTTATTGAGCTCATACAATTTCTGAAGATTTAAGAAAAAGGGGGAGAAGGACAAAGTTTTTTAAATGGACACAAGAAAAATACAGAATAATATACAATTTAGGAAAGTGGTAATGTTCTAGTGTTTATTACTCTCATTATTCAGATTTGTCTTTTAGAGTATCCACTGCATTAGTAAATTGTTTCTGGCCCACAACAGAACTTTCATATTCTACTCTGGCACTATCCCTAAGCTCTGGGACTAATCTACCTCTAACTGGGTAATATATTTAAAAAAGCCAAAGTTACAGCTTGGTATGATCATGTACTCTGGCCCTAGTAAGCAGTCTCCTTCTTTAAACTGAAATGTTACTAAGCCTCTGCTTTACCTTCCAAATTTCAAGAAAGTATCTACCCAGGATCCTGATCTGGTGTCCTATCACTCCAGAGCTAGGGTTCATTCCTACTGTCTATAGATTCCTCAGTTTCCTGCTTTCTTCTTCTGAAAACCCAGACACTGTTTCTTATTTATTTTGGGACACTGCTTTTATACTCTGCAGATAGCAAACTCCTAGCTTCTACCAATTTGCCAAGAGATTCACTTGACATCTACTGCCAATTTCCCTGATTTTTTTTTTTTTTTGTCATACTGCCTGATACTTACATCTCAAAGGTAATGCCTAAAAATCAGTCATTTTAGAATTGTCCTAACCATTCTACCAGATAAACTTTGGTCTAAAAATTGCTGTGGGTGGGGCATTTAATTGAAGACTCAAAGAAAGCAAATAAAACCAAAATAATATATAACGAAATAGGACATAAACCTTCACACAGGCAGGTTATATTATCTAGTTGGGAAATTATTCATACAATAAATGTATGTTAAGCATTTACTATGGACTAGGCACCATGTTATACTCTGCAAAAAAAATGAAAAAGAACTATAAAAACTAATTCTGCCCAAAACTACTCCTCAACTCCCACATGAGTTTCCAATGTGTTGGCAATGCTCCACAGGATTCAGATTTGCCACCCCTACAATCACATGAATCAATTCCTCAAATCTCTTCATACATTTAAATCTCTTTACACGTGGTGATAAAGAATGCTACTGGCAATGTCTCTGGAGACCACCAACTGATACGACCAAAGACAGAGCTTTTAGTTTTATAGCAAACTGAATACAGAAGAATTACGCGAATTGATGAGAAATATGGGATAGGTCTGATGAGCAAAAACATGCAAGTAAATAGAAAAAAAAACTAACAAAACTATCAATAAATAATGGAAATTCAGAACTGATTTAAAAAGTCATTTATTTCTATTAGCTAAAAACCAATATTTATCTAACATATCACAAAGAATGTCTTAACATTTTTTATAACACGCCTGCAAAATATTCTATATTTAAAAGGTCAGTTCTGCCACCTAGTGCCACAGAATGTTAGAATACCATTGTGCTGAAGTACAGTATGAGAAGAGTCATGACTTACAACTGTAAACATGGTATTCTCACTTTATTCTACCATCTTTTGTTTACAGGTGAATTAAGTTATGTATTATAACAATCATGAAGAATAAATATGGCTATAGTTATCAAACCTCTTAGTGAATTTAACATAAACTTGGAATTGTCACAGTACCCTCAGTACCCTCTTGTGGAATGTCCTGTTCCATTCTCCTCTCTAAATTCTGATTATCCTTGAAATCCATGCTCTGTTTCTCTAGCTGTATTTATTAACTATGTCATATAGCAACTGCTCAGTTAACATGGTTGGTAACATCACATATACTGTTCTTTTTAGAATAAAGTCTATTCTCCGTATGACTGGGTGATCTATTTCAGAAGAAAAAAAATTGTATGTATTCTCCTACTGAATTCTGTACGTTTTTCTCTATCACTTTCAAAATAGCCTAGTATTTTATAAATAATACCTTATCATAATCTGGCCCACCTACTTACTCAGTGAAGTAAATCATAAATTTTAGTTACTCAGAGAGAAGAAACATATAAAACAGAGGAAAACAAGAGAAGTAAAAGGATAACACAGAGAAAAAGGCGTTCAATTTAAAACATGAAGTCAGCATGGTGACAGAGGCCTGTAATCCCAGCACTCAGGAAGATGAGGCAGGATCGGGGGCATTCAAGGCCAGCCTGGGCTACGTAAGCAAGAACCTGTCTCAAAAACAAAAACAAAGACAAAAACTTGAGTTAATCAACAAGCCTTACCTTCCAGCATCAGTAAGCAATAAAGTACCATAGGCAGATATTCACTTACAACATTTCTGAATGGTTGAACTAAAAAAAGTCAAGTTTTTCTTACCTTAGCAGTTTTAATATAGTGACTCAAAACTTCTGCTCTGATTTTTAATGTTTGAGCATGAAGAATCTCTCTAACAACCCAAAAGCTTACCTGCAGATGGAAATTAAAAAACAGGTGGACAGGATTAATGATAGAAAGTACTTGATGAACTTCCCATGGGTGCTTACAAATGTTTTCTTTCCCTTGGCTCATCACCAAGACATAACCAAGCTTCTAATATTGTATACACTTCACATTAAGAGACAAAGATGTGTGTGTACATACATATAAAACTTCATTAATGTGTAAAAGTTAATATAAATTTTTAGGGAAAAGAGCTTTGTAAGAGACTGCAACATAATCAAAGTGGTACATCAAGAGCATCTATTCAAGGTCTGGCAGAGTGGTTCAAGTGGTAGAGTGTCTGCCTAGCAAGTATGAGGCCCTAAGCTCAAGACCCAGTGCCACCAAAACCAAAAAATTTATATGCAAATACAAATAAGGTTTTTTGTTTGTTTTTGGGTACTGGGGTTTGAACTCAGGGTTTCACTCTTGCACTCTACCATTTGAGCCACTCCACCAGTCTTTTTTTTTTTGCTATATTCTGAAACATATTGGCAGAATTAGGTATGCTCTAAAATCAAACACTGTTTGACACAACTTACACATTTTTGTGGCTGTGAAACCCTACACTGCCATCTGTTTACATTGAGCAGAATCTTGAAGATTCCAGGTATTGGCTGGGCACAGTGGCTCAAGCCGATAATACCAGCCACCTGGGAGGTGGTAATCAGAAAGATGGTGGTTCCAGAGCAGCCTGGGCAAAAAGTTCATAAGACCTCATTTCAACCAATGGCTGGAAATAGTGGCATGCACCTGTCTTCCCAACTACATGGGGAAGCACAAATAGGAGGACTAAGGTCCAGGCTGATCTGGGCATAATATGAAACCCTATGTCAAAAATAATCAACACAAAAAAGGCTGGGGGCATGGCTCCAGTGGTACAGTGCCTACCTGAAGCCCTGAGTCCAACTCCTAGTACCACAAAAAAAAAAAAATGTGTGTTTGTGTGTATGTTGGTATGGTTTTATTATAACTAAAATAAAATGTAAAAAGTAGATATCCAAATTAGGCATTCTCAAATTAAGGTTGCATTTCAAAAATTTTATAATGCTTTCTATTTCAATGAAACTAACTTTTTGGTTTCTTTTATAAACATTAAAGGGCTGGCAGAGTGGCACAAGTGGTAGGGTACCTGCCTAGCAAGTATGAAGCTCCGAGCTCAAACCTTAGTAACACCAAAAAACCCCAAAAAACTCATGGTTAAAAATATTAAAAATCATTTATCATAAGACACAGATTTATTATATTACTAAATAATCTAATACAGTTTGCCTATTACATGATATAATACATACATAAATCATGAACTACCACTTTAAGTCATGTACTACAAAAATAAAAGCAAAGCACTGTTAAGATGGTTCAATTTTACAAAAATCTAAAAACAGGATGTGGTTAGAAAGCTTAGTGCAAAAGGTATGTCATACCTTGTATTTCTTCACTTTTAAAAATGACAAGTATTTCAGGTTTTTCTTGCCATTTTCATTTGTAAACAGGTGTCAACAGTATATATATATTTTTTACTTTGCAAATTTTTATTTGTTGCTTACTAACATTAAGCTTTCTCCATTTTCAATATGTACTTTCTTTAGAAAAGTGTCTGAATAAAATTTTTATTATTATTCATTTATTCACATGTGCATACATTGTTTGGGTCATTTCTCCCTCCAGCCTCCACCCCCACCCTCTGTCACCTCCCTGCTCCCTTCCAGGCAGAACCTGTTCTGCGCTTTTCTCCAGTTCTGTTGAAGAGTAGAAAAAAGCAATAATAAGAAAGATACAGTGTTTTTGCTAGTTGAGATAAGGACAGCTATACAGAGAGATTGCTAGCATTGCTTCCATGTACAAGTGTGTTACAACCCAGGTTGATTCATCTCTAACTGATCTTTACACTGGTTCCTGATCTCCTTCTCATGTTGACCTTTGTCACTTTAAAGTTTCTGTATTAATTCCTCTGGAGTGGGGACATCAACTGCTTTCATGTTTTGGGTTTTCTATCTAACCCTGTACCTCCTGTATATGTTCTCCTCTTGTCATGCAACCCAAGTCCTACAACATTGCTGTATTTCCCCTAGATCTAAAGACCACATATGAGGGAAAACATAAGAGGAAATCATCAGAGACTACTTTGAAAGCCTGTACTCTAATAAACTTGAAAATTTTGAAGAATGAACAGATTTCTAGATACTTACAACCATCCAAAACTGAACCAGGAGGACATTAATCACCTGAATAGATCTATACCATAAAACAAAATTGAAGCAGCAATTAAGAGTCTCCCAAAAAAAGAGAAGTCCAGGACCTGATGGATTCACTGCTGAATTCCATCAGATGTTTGAAGAAGAACTAATACCAATCCTCCTTAAACTGTTCCATGAAATAGAAAGGGAAGGAATACTGCCTAACTCGTTTTATGAAGCCAACATTACTCTCATTACAAAACAGCCAAAAAGGAGAACTACAGACCAATGTCCTTAATGAGTATTGGTGCAAAAATCCTCAATAAAAGAATGGCAAACCAAACCCAACAACATATCACAAAGATCATTCACCATGACCAAGTTGGCTTCATCCCAGGGATGCACGGGTGGTTCAACATATGCAAATCTATAAACATGTGTGTATTTTGAGCTACAAATGGTAACAAATCTCCCTGATCCTAGTAAGACTTACTTCTAAAAAGAATCAAGTTATATAATTATTTAAATAAAAACCTTAGCAAATATAACTATGAATTCAATCTAAACTGCATGGTTACTTGACTTTAATTGAACAACACACTAATACTTGGGTGATTTAAAAACATTAATTCTGTCACTCCTTTCATCAAAAGTTGTGATGTGTATCACCTCTCAATGAATTAGAGCAAGCTCGTGACTGCTTTCATGAAGAGGATAAAATTGATATTGACTTCCAGAATGAACTCTAAGAGACCATGAAGCCCCTGTGTTAATTGCTGGAACATTCTCTCTGGGAACCTTGAGCTACAATCTAAGAAGTCCGACTATGCTGAGACAATGTTGAAAAGGCTAAGTATATGTGCTCTAAAAACACTCCTGGTTAACACCAACCACACCTGAGAAGACTGAGCCAGAATAACCAACACCAAGACTTTGTTTAACAGTAATTTAGAGACAAGATTCCAAGATGGCGGCTAGAGGGAGGAAGCAGAAAGCGTGCCTCCTAAAGCAAAATAAAGGAGAGACGCTGGAGATACACCTTACAGGAAAACCACCAAGAAGAGGCAAAACTTTGACGCCTCCACACCTCCAGCCTGTGCATAGCATCTTCACTTCACGTTAAACGGAGAAACCAGGAGGGCTCCTGTGCCACCACCACATGGCAGCAACCAGATGGCTTGACAAGACACAGACTACAAGGTGAGCTAAGCGGTGCGCGCAGTAGTCCCCCAGACAACCCTGGGCCAGATCAGCATAGCCCCCTGGACGGACCGACCCCCACCCAGGGAAAAAAAGAAAAAAAAAAACTGAATAATAAGCAATAACAACAAAAAAGACACGTAGAAAAGAGGTTGGGGTGCCCTGAGTGCCAAAGAGAGGGGGAAGGGAAATCACTCACAAGCCGGATGGAGAAGGCAGGAGCAGCGGCACATGCCCAGCAACCAGGAATGGGAAAGCTTGTAAAAGTGGCGGTGGGAGGAAAACTCCACAGGAGAGTGGGGAAGACCTACTTCTCACATGAGCTGTAAACAAACACGCAGGCCTGAGAAAGCAGTGCAGTGTCACCTCCCCCAGTGTGCTTGGAAAGGGGAAAGCTTGTAGCAGAGGCTCACACACAGGAGAACTCTGAGTAAACAAAGCCTACGGGGCCAGGTGAGTGCTAAACTCCATCCTGAGATCTGCATAAATAATGCCTCCAGCAACAGCAGGCTGAAAGCAGCAGGCAGGTGAGCCCCAGCCTCAGATACCATTCACAGAACTGTCTCCAGGGTCTTTTTTTTTTTCTCCCTACCTTTGATGAAACAACAACCGAACTACACCTGCATGCTGAAAAATTTACTGAAACTGTATTGCATTTGAACTTGGGACACTGTGTGGGTTTCTTTTTCTTTGTTTTGTTTTCAATTTTCTTCCCCTTTGATGAGATGACAGAACTACTTCTGAGACACCATCTCCAGACTGGAGGCTAAAGAACTAAGATGAAAAATATTAAGACTGAAACTTCATTGCATTTGAACTTGGAGATTTTTTTTTCATTGATATTTTTTTTTATAATTTTTTTTCGATCCTCTGTCTCTCTAATGCCTGCGCAGCTTACTGTTGATTAGTACACTATCTCTCCCTGTTGATATCTTTGAAATTTTTGTTTGTTTTGTTTTTTCTACTTATTTGTTTTTCCATTTCTAACTTCTTTGCTTTCAATCTCCTCTCACTGTTCCATTCTAAATATCACCATTGCTATTATTACAAGCTAGAAAATACTTAATTGCATACAGTACAGGGACAATAACAACACCAAGGGCAATGACAGGAACACAGAAAAAACAGGGAAACCAGTTTCTCCACAGCAAAAATTTAGTACAGGAACCAGAGGGAAATGAAGAAAACAGATACTCAGATCCAGACTCAAACAAAATGAAGACAAAGTATGCCAAAGAACCCAATGAAGCCCACAAGAACAATCTAAAAGAAGAAATACTACAGGTAATCAATGAGAATTTTATAGAGATGATACTGGATATGGTCAACCAAAATGTACAGGAGACACTCAAGAAATTCCAAGACAACAAAAATAGAGAATTTGAAAAAGCAAGAAGAAATAAAGGAAACCATAGAAGCACTGTATAAACACCAAAGTGAAACAAGAACACAATTAATAAAAGATAAATGAACTCAGGACAAAAATAGACAACATTAAAGAGGAAACAACTCAGGATATGGAAAACCTCAGAAAAAAGAACAAACAGAACTGCAAAAAAATGAAGGCAATCCAGCAGAACAGAACAAACAGAAGACAGAATCTCAGAA